CTTTTCTTATAAAGTATTTTAATAAAATTTTTTAAAAATATAATTGTTTATAACAGTTCAAAAAAACTTTTTTCTAATTTTTTTATGTATTATTTGAAATCTTAAAAAATAAATATTTTTTAATAAAATTTATACATTTTATTCTTAGGTTTTAAAATATATTTAAATAAAATTTTATAAGATTTTAATGATTTTTTTATTTAATTATAAGATAAAATATAAAATCAAAAAAATTCTGAAAAATTATGAATCATCCTATACAGTATATCTAGATTAGACTTAACTTTTAGAAATATATGTATTTAATTAATATAAAGAAATACAAAAAGAAATAAAAAGAAAATAGTATAAACAATATATATACCTATGGTCTTATGCTTTTAATTTGATTACATTAATTTATAATAATTAATTAATAATATTTTGACAGTATAACACATTATCAAAGTCAAAATTATATTATACATATATCTGATTATTTGAAAATATGTTTTAAATTTGAGGCTATCAAGAGCAAATCAGATATCTTTTGAAATATCTAGGTTTTTAGATACAGTATGGATTTTATAATACAATTACAAATTAAAATTGTTATAGAATAAAATTATTATAATCCTTATTTTCAAGTTATAATTAAAATTGACAAATTTATTATAAAATAAAGTTAAATAAAATCTTAATAGTAAAATAATTTGAAATCCAATATAAAAAAAGTCAATAAATTATCAAGTTTTTTTTAAAAACTTTAATAATAATATTATTAGAATCATAAAATTATTTTATTAAGGTTTTATTTAAATTAAATAAATATTTATTGAATTAAAAAGTAAAAAAAACTCTTTCTGTTGATCCTTTTACCAATACAAAAACAGATGTTCCAAAGAAATTTTATATTTCCTTGTAATATAGTCTATACACTTTCTTTAATAACATCAATATCCAGAGGTTTTAGTCTCTTCCTTTTTGTTTCTTTCTCTCTTTGATATAAACTTCCTGTATTTCAGCAAATAAATACAAGAAAAAACTACCTATAAAGTCAAAGGTAAGAATACTTTGTTAGAAAAAAAAACTTGTAGAAAAAATATCCACATCTCTTCTTCTAAAGATTTAAGATTCCAGAAAAGACTGGCATAGGCTTTTGAAACTTTTTTCTCATCTTTCTCAAGTCTCTCTCCTATTTTTCAAGCATATATATTTTTTTCTGATTTTTTTGAGGAATTTTGCCTACTTCAGTTTGACCCTGAATTTTTAGTTACATTGGAACTTCTGAATGATAATTGGCTAGAAATTTGGACTGGTTGATCTATATGTAGCAAGAAATGTAAACAAGACACATAACTCTTACGTGTTTTATCTCGTATAACAATAAACCTAATGATGCCATTGGATATAGTGAAAAGAGCAAAGCGACGAGGTGTCTATTTTGTTAAGATATGTTATGGTGTTCTCCTCTTCTGGACTGGTTTTCTCTTCTCTTCAAAATTAAAAGAAGTCTTATCCCAATTCAGTAACAAGCTTTCTCTATTGTTGATTATTTCGAAAAGGCATCAAGCAATAATTTCCTAAGGTATAAGTCATATTTCAAGCAATAATTCTTTATAGGTATAAGACTTGTTATAAGTACCTTGAATATTCTTGATCAATAATAAAATAGTAGAAATTAAATTGTTTGCCCAGCTGCAGGTAAAGGTAAAGGATTTATTCTGATGGATCGAAGTTGATTTTGGAGAGTTTTTATTTACCAAAACAAACTTTTCAATTATCCTTTTTATTTTTATTTTTTTTTCTTAAAAAATAAAAAATTTTTATCTCTTAAGACCACAGATTTATGTAGGAGTGACAGTCCGAATGTAGGCTGGTTAAGATCTTTCAAGGCATAGTTTTTGACATCTAGTCTTGAAAGAGAGCAACTTTTATCATTTCCAATGATTATATCTAAAGAGTTTAGATTTAGAAAGTTCAAGATAGTTAATATAATGCAGTAATAGCTTAATAAATATACTTCCTTATAATGAGATAGTTAGTAAATAGCTAAATCATATAGGCAACACAGTAGTCTTGATATTAAGAATTCAAGGATCACGTACAAATCTAAATTCATTGACAGGTGTTTTACAATCTTATGTATTAGTTTAGCTCTAGTATAGTATCATATATATTGTACTACTGTTTTTCAAAATTGGATAAATAAATGCAACTCTTGTAATCTAATTAAAGGTAATATATATATATATATATATTTATTTATTGAATTACAATAAAAATATTAGTCCAAAGACTTTTGTAACACACTGTATATCTAATTAGATAATAAGTTGATATGTATAGCAATGTATTTTACATTTTAATATTAATCATATAACAATTTTTTTACTTTATTAATAAAAATTGTAAAAAATATCTGCCTTAACATTAAAAAAATTTATTTTTTTTTGATATTTTTAATACAATTATTTTAAAATAAATATAAAATACTTATATTTCTAATTGAAACTTATTTATAAGTTTGAAATTTTATTATTTTTGTTTAAGATATTACCTTTTATTTTATTTAATATTTTTTCTGATTTCTATGTCAAGTGACTAATGATGTCATATGCATTATAATATAAAAGTGAATTTGTTAATAACTCTCCCAAAAAAATGATTCCTCAACGTCAGATTCTTACAAAAGATGATTTGGACAAGTTTCAAAAGTCATCAGCATACCATGAAATTTTTTCTTTTATCGAGAGACTGAATAATTCAGTGAAGGGCCTAAAACTTAGTACAGAATGTGCAGTTTCTCCGGTAATACTAATATCACTTTTTCAACAAATTTGTTAAGTACCTAACAAACTTTTATTTATAGACCTTAATACGTATATTGGAAATACTGGATAAAGTAGATTCATTTTGTAAGGAAATTCCTCCAGTAAACAACGAAAAGAGTCGCTTCGGAAATCCTGCATTTCGGGATTTTTATGATCGAGTCACCAATGTAATTTCGCAATTTCTATTAAAGTTTTATTGAAGAAAGCCTAATGACACTTTTTCATAATTTTATAGTCTAGCACAGAACTTCATGAAACCCTAACATTACCTCCTTCCTCCATACAAGAGGTTTCGCGGTATTTTGTGGAAAGTTGGGGAAATCGAAAAAGAATCGATTATGGTACCGGACATGAGGCTAATTTTATAGCTTGGTTGTGAGTTACGAAAAACTTATTATTATTTGTTTTATTACTCTTTTTTCACTAAACTTTATTTGTTTAGATTATGCATTGAAAAACTGGGACTGATAGGACCCGATGATTATACTTCAGTGGTATTAAGAGTTTTTCAAAAGTACGCTTATTTGATTATAATAAAACCATTCTTTAATTGATTATTAAATATATAATATATTTTCTAAAAAAAAAAGATATATAGAAGTAATGCGGAACCTTCAATTTAACTATTGGCTTGAGCCAGCAGGATCTCATGGGGTATGGGGATTAGATGACTATCATTTTCTACCTTTTATGTTCGGATCAGCTCAATTAATAGGTATGATCTGTATGATTGACCAAAGAATACTTTGGATTGATATCACTCACGTTAGTTTTTTTAGGTCACAAATATATTCGGCCAAAATCTATTCATGATAAAGACATCGTAGACGAATTTTCAAAAGAATACATGTACTTGGCTTGCATTAAGTTCATCAATTCAGTACGCATATTTTGCTCCCCTGATTACGATGTAATGTATTAAAATATTTGCACAAAACCGTATCTAACTCATAAGCATTTATACAGGTTAAGACTGCATCTCTTCGTTGGAATTCACCGATGTTGGACGACATATCTGGTAAGCTTTAAACTTTACACATATTATATATATATATTAATATTTGATTTATTTAGGCGTTAAGGAGTGGACGAAGGTTAATGAGGGGATGCTTAAAATGTACAAAGGAGAGGTGCTTGCAAAACTACCAATAATGCAACACTTCATGTTTGGTTCTTTGATACGTTTTGAGGGCAGTGCAGGCTCAGCCGCAGATAATGAAGATGATGATCATATACACATTCACGCTTTTGGACAGGAATTTCCAGATTGTTGTGGAATAAAGATTCCAAGTGCCGTTGGAGCAAGTCAGATGAACATAAGAGAAGGCACTTTTAAAAGATTGCCATTTGATTAGTTATAGTGTTTAATATTTTCATTGTATTAAGTCAAATTTTTTTCTTAATAGTAAAAGTACAATTAAAATAATTGATTGAATCATAACTTAATTAATTGGAATATTGTTTTTATAATAAATTTATATTGTGTAAAAACATATTAAATATAATTTTAATATATTGATTATTATTATATACACTCCCTGGTCAAAATATTAGGACCACTTAATAAAATTTAAATAATTGTATTTAATTTACTATTAATAGTATAATATAATAATATTTTTTTAAAAAAATCAAAATACAAGTAATTATATATTTAATTAATAGATAAAAAATATATTTTTAAATTATTTAATATTTTTAAAAAAAAAATTTTTTTTAAAAATTTTTTTAATATTTAAAGTATTGTTAAATAAATAAATATATTTATAAATAAATTTTTATATTATATTATTATATAAAATTAAATTAATCAATTTATTATTAAGTAAGGTTCTAAAATTAAAAAAACTCTCTTCTGATCATGTTTACTTTGCTAAAAAATTTCCTTTTATGGTAATTTTTGTTAAGAAAAAATGTTTTACACTCTTTATCACAAGTAAGCCTTAGCTCAAGAACTCAAGAACTTTTAAGACAACTGGTGCAGTAGGATGAAACCTCTGGTCGAAGTTTACTCAAGTTTGAAAGTTTTGCTTATCCTTCAGTTGCATAAGGAAAGGCCTGTGACAGTTCTCTTTTCTTTTGTTTTCTTGCATCCCTCCTTTCACTTATTATAATATAAAAACTATCTATATCAATACCATTATATATGCTAAGTCAAATACTTTTCAAAAAACATACTCAAATAGAGTTATTGGGTCTACTGTTTGTTTTAACACAACCTTTACATACAATCTTATCATGGTAACAACTACTGTGCCATCTCAAAATTTTCAAAACTTTCTGTCCAAAAAACTGAAATCAATTAATCCTCTCCAGATAATCATTGCTCTTCAATCATCCAATCAGATTTCATCAAAACAACAAAGAAAAAACTGAATCTGTTTAAATCAGTTTTCCAGCACAACAATAACAACAACAACAATAACAATTATAACAATAAACAACGTCATATATACTCTTCTATTTATAGTAACCAAAGAGTTAGAGAGATGGGATCATGTGCCTGTCTAGAGGGCTTTTTTGAAGAAATAATTGAGTTTCTACTTATAAATTTTATAGTCTATTCGACTTAGTTTAGTTTTAGTTATTGTTGTTATTTTCTTTTTATTTATTTTATATTTAAAAAATCAAAAGATTTCACAAAATTTTGTCAAGTAGGTAGGCATAGCCACTACTTCACTATTTAACACTTTAATATTGCTTTTGAAATTTTTTTACAATATTAGTTAGATAGTGATCAAGTAGGCAAGCTGCATTTAACTTGTTGTATGCAATACACACCCAAGAAATGCTTCTTTCACAATATATATCTACAATATACAATCAAATAAAGAAATAATGTTTACCTACTAAAGAAAACCCTCCAAAAAAAATATTAAGTAAGGTTCTGAAAAATATCAAACTGATATTGAATTGATATTGAAATGATACTAATCTTTTTTTTAAATTGTTAAAGTGAGGCTTTTCTCATGATTTTATTAATTAAGTATGAGTTTTATCGATACATAATTAATTTCTAAATCTAGAGATGTATTACCATACATACTAGCCTACCACCTATAAAGTAGATATATTCCTAAAAAAAACTTTTTACAAGGAAAAAAAAGGAAGGAACTAT